GTTTCCAGAACCATAGAACATTGGGACGACAACCCGTGCTTCAGAGCCGGGAATGCCACGGCACCGCGGAGTCTAGCGGGCCGCGTGCGTCACTAGTGTCACCCGACACCCCTCCCTCAGCACATCGCCCTGCTGCGCTGTTGCTTGGTTTTGGGATGCCCTCCTTTGCAGCCCTCACAGCTTCCATTCCTGGTCAACACCTGGGATTTTCCCCTCCATGCCTTGAGCACGCCACTGTGGGAGACTGTGCCCAGGCCTGAAGAAGCTGTTCTCTGTGTACCTATAATCCCTGGTGCCAGTGACAGCATTATGAAAAGATGCAATGCAAAATAAACTTTACAGTTCTTTGGAGAATGAATTTTCTCCCTTTTTTGGCTGTGTGACGCTCCCTGCCCTCTCCCATCCTCTGCAAAATCCAGGACACGTGATGTGAAGACAGAGGCCACAGTAGCTGCTGGAGGCCCTAAACAGTTTGTTCAGCCTCTATTTTGGATCAGGTGGTATGGGTGTGTGTGTGTGTTTGTGTGTGTGTGTATCAGGAAATCCTTGCTCCCACAAGTTGCTCCAATAAAGGGGGCGGGAGGGGGACCTGATGGGGTTAAAAGAGTTGCCCAAATATTAACAACGTGTCTACCGTCTTGGAAAATGATCACTCATTACCTAAGGAAAACTCAGATAAGGTCTGCGAAGTTTGAGACACAGACTTTGTGTGCAAGAGGTCTAATGTCACCCCTGACCCCAGCGGAGGAGGGCTAGCAAGCTGTTTGCAGGTCAAGTCCAACCTCAGGCTCGTAACAGTGTATCCTGCAGGGTAAGCTACACCCCAGAATGCTAAGCACCAAGCCCAGCCCAAAAAGTGGAGCAGAGAAGGGTCCTGGCAGCACATGGGGGGTGGGTACCACCTTTGGGTGCTAGGCTCAACACAAAGCTCTTGGATGCTGGGAGTGGGGCACACAGCCCCCCTAAAAGAGCTCATACACACACACACACACACACACACACCACCTAGTACAGAAACAGTTTACTTTTACACAGAACCATCTTTAAGGCCCAGGGTTTTTTAAACCATCAGTCAGTATGGAGGCTGAAGGCCAAGTAGCTGCCATTTGGCCGCAGCTCAGCTCAGGGTTACCTAAGCGTGTGTGAATGGATCAGTCCTCTGGGAACTGCTGTGGTTTCCTTCTGGGCCAGGCACACTTGGCCGCCCATCTTCAAAGCAAGTTTCCTTACAGAGAATCTAGGAGGGGCCTAAGGAGCTTGTCCCCCCATCACCCATGGCACCTACCCCACACATCAGCCACCCTTGTCAGCACCTTGTGATCAGGTGTCCCATGAGCCTCTGGATCATTCACAGACAGCCATAAACACCAAGGTAGAGCCAGGACCTAGCCCAGCCATGGACAGCCAGTGCTGGCTGGCTGTGTGCCTACAGGTGCCCAGGTCAGCAGCTTAGAATTGAGCACCCGCAGATGAGAGTCTGAGTATGAAAGAGAGTTTGGACCTCAAACTGTGGAGAGGGAGGAAAAAAAAAACCACAGTAAATGTTTAATTAACCGTCTGGAAACCTGAGCATCGTGTCAAATTCATTAATCGTTCCATTTAGTTGTCATGAAAATTTCATGATACTTCGCTATAGCTGAGGAGAATTTATGGTGAAATAGTCTCACCCAGTAAGCATTCCCAAGTGTGATACTTGGCGAGGAGATCGTGGCCAGCTTTGACTAAGTGGATCTCTTGTGGGCAGATAATCTGGAAAATAATTTTCCTTTAACAGTCTTTCTGGGGCACGGGGAGATGGCTCAGTAGTAAAGTTCTGACCGTACGGGCATAAGGACCTGAGTTCGGATCCCCAGACCCCACGTAACATCGGCTGTCTACAGCTCCAGCACGCCAGCGGTAGGGCTGGCACAATCTGGAGATCCTGGGGCTTGCTGGCTAGCCATCCTGGCCAAATCAGAGACAGCTGGGGACAGTGGCAAAAGTGCAAGCAGCCTGTACCCATGTCCTCAGTGCTCGGAAGGGACCTCTGACACAGCCGGTCCTGGGTTAGGATCTGTGGGATCCCACTGCCAAAGGGGAACTAGCACCCATCAGGATCAGGGCCATGTTCGAGGCCCAGGGCTGAGAAGGGATGTCCCAGCGAGCCCGACTCCAGTGGACAGCGTGACACTAGACCCACAGATCGCTCTGTCTTGCAGGACCCACACCCCCAGGGACTTGAAGAGGGGCTTGTCACCCCAACACACCTGTCATAAATCCTCTTTATTCTTGGCTCTAAGCAGGGACCAGAGACACCTTGCTGTCACCAACCATGTTTGGTCTCTGACCAAACTAAGTTCACTCCCTCCCTCCCTTCCTTTCTCCCTCCCTCCCTCCCTCCCTCCCTCCCTTCCTTCCTTTCTCCCTCTCTCCCTCCCTCCCTCCCTCCCTCCCTTCCTCCCTCCCTCCCTTCCTTCCTTCTTTCCTGAGTCTGGTTATGGGGAGGATAGGAGGTGGATTTTGCCAACACAATATGTGATAAAAATATATTTCTTTTAAAAGAAAGATCACAAAACCTGAAGACTTGAGATCAGTAACATGTAATTATCCCCTGCTTTGGGCGGAGAGTTCTAATAGTTTCTAGAAAAAACGTGAGCTGTTTGGAAGGAGTGTGTTCTCCAGGATAAAAAGAGACCAGCTTGGCATGTCATCTTGTATGTCTGGGCCCTTTCTTCCCTGGAGGAGGAAGAACCTACCTACCTTCTTTCCTTTCTTCCTTCCCTCCTTCCTTCCCTCATTCCCTCCTTCCTTCCCTCCTTCCCTCCTCCCCTCCTTCCCCATGGCCTTGAACCTCATCAGATTCAGACTCAGCATAGCTTCTGCTAGAGAAAGAAGCTGGGAACTGCTGGGTGGGGTAGGAGACGGCCTCGATGCAGACACAAAGGGACATGCCCTTCCTCTGTCTTTGAGGAAGACCCTTGAGTTGACAAGGACACCTAGGTCTCTGCCAACATCTGTTGTGATAGATATTGTTGTGATCTGAAGCAATGTGACCCCAATTTTACCTGGGCACACAATGATCCCGCATACAGACCCCCTTTCCCAGCATTCCACGGATGTCGGGACCATAAGACTAACTTCCGTCTGTTAGGATATGAGTGGACAGGGTGTGGGGGCCTACAGGATGTGTTCTTTAAAGGGAGATGTCCACTGTATTTTTTTTCTGCTGTGATAAACACTGTGACAAAAAAACAAAACAAGCAAACAAACAAACGAAAGCCAGCTGGAGAGGAAAGGGCTGATTTTGGCGTATGCTTCACAGCCCATCTCAGGAAGGAGTGCTGTGAGAAACTGAAACAGAGACCACAGAGGGTGCCGCTTTCCAGATCATGCTCAACCAGCTTTTTATACACAGCCCAGAACAGGCAGCTTGGGAATGACGCCGCCCGCAGTGGTCTGGGTCCTCTCACACCAACCAGCAGTCACGATAGTCTCTCTCCCACCGACGTGTCCACAAACAATCGGACCCGGGCAACCCTGCAGCCTCAGCTGCCTGCTGGAGCTGCCTTGGCTACCCGTCCTCTGCCCCTTCCTGCGAGAAGGAGTGCCCGTGTAATAGGTGGGACTCCAGCCACCCTTGCGAAACGTAAGCACGGAGGCTGCAGATGGCGGCAGAGCAGCAGATTGAAAAGGAAGCTGGGTGTCTGCCGCCGGTGACGTGCACAGGAGGGAAAGGTACATCTGCCTAGTCCACTGCTGGGGAGGCTAGGGGCGCTCCCAGTATTGAACACTGGCTCGAGATTTTCCCTAAACAAAGACAAAGACTATGAAATAATCCTTTAGAAGTAAGGCTTCTGGCCAGGAGGTGGTGGCACATGCATTAAACCCCCCCCCCACTCGGGAGGCAGAGGCAGGCGGATCTCTTTGGATTCCAGGCCAGCCTGGGCTACAGAGCGAGTTCCAGGATAGTCAGGGCTTCACAGTAAAACCTTGTCTGGGGGGACAGGGATGGGAGGGGGCTTCAGGCAGGCATTGATTGGGGTACAGTCCCGCCAACCAAGAAGAGATGGTGGAAGGGTCAAGAATGTCAATTCAGGCTTGGCTACAGAGTGGGACCCTGTATCAAAAACAAAGAAGAATAAAGAATGGTGAATGCTGAGATGTTCTCAGCAGAACCCCAGTGTCAGGTTCTGGTGGCAGGCACATCCTGAAGCCCAGCACTCTAAGGCCAGAGCCAGCTTGGCCAAGCACTGAGACCCCCAGGCAAGAGCTGGTTAGTGAGTGGGCACCACCTGGGGGTTGGTCTCAAAACAGCCCCTTCTAGGGAGCCGGAGTGATGTCCCTCAATTGGCTCAGCTGAGAGCATTTAAAAGGTGACCTTATTTCTTTTGGGCCGCAACAATTTTCTGTTTCCCTTGACCACTTCTGCAGGCTCTGGTTTTCCCCCTGGAAGTCATAAAAATCATTTGGGAATTTTAAAGCTTCGCTGTGCACAGGCCCGCGGAACTGTCTGTGTGGACTGCAGACACTTTGCAGGAACATCTATACCTCCTGCTGGTTTCCTTTTCCTGCCCTGCCCTATGCACCAATGCTACAGGGGTGCCCAGGACCTGCCTGCTGCACCCTGTCTCCCACGAGCAGCGGAGACCCAGATTCAGGGATATAGTAGGCTGAGTTGTGGGCGCGAGGCCATCTCTATGAGCTCGGTCCCTTAGCCTGTGATTGGAACAGAGTGTTTCTGGACTGTTCGGGGATCACTGACCTCTTTGAGAATGCGTGAAAGTGAGGGGCCCCTTTTCTAGAAGGTATATGGGTTGACAGTACTAGCCCCATCCTGTGGGCATGTAGGGAGCCCACAGTAGGCATCTTTTCCCCCTCGAGTAGGAGTCCAGATGGGCAGTCCCCACCCCAGAGGCCAAGGCTCCTCTCTTCCTCGTCACTTATTCAGCTTCAACTTGCTCACCCACCCTGATTTCATCATTTCTTCTGAGAACCACACCAAAGTTTCATTTTCTCTTTCTCCAGAAAGCTGGGTGGATAGGGCCAGATGGGTGCTTGTTTCCGGGTGGAAACAGATGGTGTCTGCAACTCTGAGAAGCCACTCTTCTCCTGTGGACTCAGCCTCAGGCCTGGCCACAGTGCGGGGACCTGCCACCCCCAGCCCCCCAAAGGTGCCCCGAGGTTTCCGTGAGCATGGCAGGAGCTGCTGTTGATCTGAGCACAGGAGGTGAGCTGGGCGAGCCTCTTCCTTCCCTCAAGCAGCATCGACCCTGGGTGGGTTTATATGGCTCCTTCTAGTTCTTTCCTTGACCCGGACAACAGCAATATTCCAAGGACACCAGAGCACCATGAGAAGCAGCTTGCTTAAAGGATCCTGTGCTTCATACTTTGACCCCTGGGCTGGTTCGTAACAGCCCTCAGGTAAAAGTGGTAGCTCTCACCTCACAGATGAGGCCACTAAGGCATGTGGCAGGCTTTGGGCTCTGAGCTGTGTGAGGGGACTTTGTTTTGGTAAGAATATTTGGCTCTGATCCTATGCTCACGCTCTTCTCCCTGGTGCAGGGCGGTGCGAGGCTATGGGTGCCGGGCGGTGTGCGGGGCAGGGCGTGGCAAGGCTATCAAACTGTTGAGGGCAAGGCTGTGCGGCTGTGGACAGGATTTATTCTACTGCTTTTCTTCGTTGTTTTGAATTTTTTTTTAAAGATATGTTTATTTACTACGCATACAGTGTTCTGCCTGCATGTCTGTCTGCGCTTCTGAGGAGAGCACCAGATCTCATTCTAGGCGGGTTGTGAGCCTCTGTGTGGTCCCTGGGAACCAAACTCAGGACCTCTGGAAGGGCAGCCACTGCTCTCGACCCCTGCGCCGTCTCTCCAGCCCCCAAAAGCCACCCCTTTCGATCCTCACACCGTTCTAGGGGATGTTGCTCAAAGGGGGAGGAGCCAGGCCAGGTGGCAGGTTCGGGACCAGGCAGAGAAGACCAGAAAGTAACCCTTGCCTGGCCCCTGTGGCTTCCTAACACCACCCCGGCCAGGCAGTCACCTCTATCATCCCTTCACGATCTCCCTTTGGAGAAAGCGCTGCCCTCAGGGGTCAGTAGGGGAAGGGAGGGCCGGAGCGCCCACTGCAGGACACACTCCCCAGCAGGGAAAAAGCTCAACCCTATAATCCCGGCAGGGGAGGCGGGCGGCTGAGGCAGGAGGATCGCTGTGAGTTCCAGGCCAGCCTGAGAAATGTGGTGAGGCCTTGTCCCAAGAGGGGGGGATTAAAGGAAAGTTAAGAGCAGGCAGACGGAAGGAACCAGAAGGAGCACGAGGTGGAACTTGGGTGACTCTTGGGGTCAGGCGCAGAGGAGGCTGGGTAGCAGCGGTCCACCTGACCTCTAGGTCAAGGGCGCTGTCGGGAACCCTTCTGGAGTCGGTGGTCACCTGGGAGACTAGTGATGCCATCAGGAAGATGTCGTTGAGGCTGGGATAGGGGATAAAAGGGAAGTGGGAGACATCTGAGTTAGGTTTTCAGGGCTCCTGATCCACCTGGCATGGGAAGGGAGACATGAGAATGCCCATGCCATCCATGTGAGTGCTGAGAGGGAGAGAAAGGGACTCCCCCATACAGGCTGGGACAGGCATCACGCACCACGGAGGGGCTTCCGGGCCAGGCTTGGCTCCATGCCTCTCCCTCTGGCTCCCCATCTGAGAGCTGAGGGCTCCTACCTGTCCGGGGTTCCACACCAATACACAGGACAGCACGCACACTCCTGTACCATATGACCTTCCAACCATTCGGCTGTGGGGCCTGGGTCCACTCGGTCTGACAATCCTGCCTCTCAGTGACGTCCTCGATGCAGTCTGGTTGGCCCAGACCACAGCTGCCTTCTCCGCTCTGGGCTCTCTCCCAGATCTTTCTTACCTCTGGAGCTGGATGCTAGCCTCCCATGGGCTTGACTCAGCTCTTCTCTCTGTCCCTCCCCAAGACAACCTGGAGAAAACGATCCTACGGGTACTGAGTGAAGCCGGCAGCCCTGTGAAGATCGCCAAGCTGGTAAAGGAGTGCCAAGTGCCCAAGAAAACACTCAACCAAGTCCTTTACCGCCTGAAGAAGGAGGGCCAAGTGCACTCCCCAGCCCCTGCAACATGGTGCTTAGGCGGGGATGCTCCTGGAGATGAGGCCCTTGCAATCCCTAAGGACCCCACTGCCCAGCCTAGCCTCGGTAATCTGTCATCTGGGGACAAAGCGGACTCCCCTCAAGAGCCATCTCAACAGTGGGCAAGTCCAGGTCCAGGCTTGGCTTCAAGTCTGTCATCCTCTCTCTCTCTCACTTTTGATTTCTTTCTGCCAACGGAGCTAATGTAGAGCCTAGGGCTTGTACGTGGTGGGTGTACGACAGACGCCAGCAATAGTGAAGACACTGTCCAGGCAATAGTCACAATGGCAGTGAGTGCTGATGGTAGGGATTCACTCAGAGCCCTCGGGTGACTTTGACAGCCACTGAGCGGCGAGGGCTCGCAAGTCCATTGCTGGTGCTGTACCAAGGCTGCCTTGCCTTCAGTAACTCCCACCGCTGGAGCCAGGAGAGGAGGCAGCCTCAAGACCCCGCCCTTCTGCAGCTGTGACCCACCCACCCACGCAGATGGGAAACCCTGGGACCCCAGCCTAATGTCCTGTCCCCTAGCTCTCCTGTGGAAGTGTTCCATTGCTCAGTGGATCAGAGCATCTCCTGTCTCCAATGGACACATCTCTCTTCCTCCAGTCCCAAGACCCCAAAGACGTAGGCACGGCTCCAGGGAGTCCTGGCCTGCAGCTCCGTGCACACCGAAGGCCTCGCCAAACTACTCTTAGGGGCACAAGGGGAATGGGTGTTCAGGATCACGTCCACCACCCAGGCTCCGCAGGAATCTCAGGCCAGACTCGGTGTCAGAAGCCAAAGGGTCTTTACTTTACAGGTGCTGACACGCGTGTGCCAGCCTGAGCCCAGCCTCTAGGGTGAGAGCCTCATGCACATATCTGGTCTCCAGGTGACACTGTACCCAGTACGACCATGCGCCTCCGACAAAGCAGGACCATGGCCCCTGGGCTTCATAAGCATCTCAGGCTACAGCCAGGGGTTGCTGGACAGATGCAAGCCCAGGGCCCTCCTCCTGCTAAACGGCCACCCCTCACTTGCAGATGAAAGGATCTTCAGATTCCTGGAGACCAGCGGGCCTCACAGGGCCCTGCACATCGCCAAGGCTCTGGGAATGAACACGGCCAAAGAGGTGAACCCACACCTGTACGCCATGAGGAGCAGGCACCTTCTGAGCTACGATGGGAACACATGGATGATCTACAACTCAGGTCGGAAAGTTCAAGAGCTAGGTATGAGAGGTCAAAGTCAGTTTGGGGAGGTCAGGGTGGATGGCCTAGGGTCAGGTTGGGAAGTTCAAAGTTCAGGTCAGGAAGATCAAGGATCAGGACTAAGCCATCTAGGGTCAGATTGAAAAAGTCAAGGGTAAGGATTTGGATGGCCTGGGGTCAGATTTTGTTTCGTTTTGGTTTTGGATTTGTGTATTCTATTTTATGTCTTATAAGTGTTTGCCTGCGAGTATGTATACACAACGCATGCGTGCGGTGGCAGCAGAGGCCAGAGGGGGGAACCGGATCTCCTGGATGGAGTTGGAGTGGCAGACCACGTGCCCTGTGGGTGCCTAGTGCCGCACCCTCTGCAAGAGCCGCCAGTGCTCTAACCGCCTAGCCGCCTCTCCAGCCTTGGAGTCAGACTTGGTAACGAGTCTGAGCCCCAGTATTCTCAGGGACCTTCCAGCATGTTCATTTTAAATGTCTTGGTTTTTTTCTTGAGAGATAACCTCACTGTGTAGCCCTGGCTGTCCTGGAACTCACCATGTAGACTAAGCTGGGCTCAGACCCACAGAGATATGCCTACCAAATTCTAGGATTGAAGGCATGTACCACTACACCTGGAAAAAATGTCTTTTACAGCCAGATAAAGAAATATACCTTTTAATAATGAATATCAAAAATGCCCCAGCTTAAGTATGTTTGTCTTTACACAAAGATGGGTAGAAAGCATGGCTTAATTTTTTTTCCTTTCATGAGACAATTTCATGTAGCAGAGATAACCTTGAACTACTCATCTTCCTGTTTCCAAGTGCTGGGGTTACAAATATCTGTCGCCATGCAGGTGTCTGTCAGCATGCAGGTGTCTGTCCTGTCACCATACAGGTGTCTGTCAGCATGCAGGTGTCTGTCAGCATGCAGGTGTCTGTCAGCATGCAGGTGTCTGTCCTGTCACCATACAGGTGTCTGTCAGCATGCAGGTGTCTGTTGCCATACAGGTGTTTGTTACCATGCAGGTGTCTATCAGCATGCAGGTGTCTGTCCTGTTACTGTTCAGGTGTCTGTCAGCATGCTTGGCTAATTTCATTTATGGAGAAGGGAGCTCACAGTCATTTATGGAGAAGGGAGCTCACAGAGACTCACAGAACTCTAATCTGAGCAGGCATGTAGAACACAGAGCAGGTGGCTGGCCTTGGCTGGTGGGGGCCTGCCCCTTCCCCCTCTCTCAGGTGGGTCTCACCTACTGGAAGAAGCCTGACAGTGTGGATGGTAGCCAGATTTTAAACACAGGGACATAGCTAAGACTTTAATAAAGTCAACAGAGCCCAACAAAACATAGGAGTCATCTTCCGGCCATTGCTGAAGTGAGAAGAGCCTGGAGCTCGGTCAGCACCGAGGGCTCTGGAGGGCTCTGGAGGGCTCAGGGGAGCTCAGGGGGCTCTGGAGGGCTCAGGGGGCTCTAGAGGGCTCTGGAGGGCTCAGGGAGGTTCTGGAGGGTCAGGAGGGCTCTGGAGGGCTCAGGAAGGCTCAGGAGGGCTCTGGAGGGCTCAGGGGGCTCTAGAGGGCTCTGGAGGGCTCAGGGAGGTTCTGGAGGGTCAGGAGGGCTCTGGAGGGCTCAGGAGAGCTCAGGGGGGCTCTGGAGGGCTCAGGGGGCTCTAGAGGGCTCTGGAGGGCTCAGGGAGGTTCTGGAGGGTCAGGAGGGCTCTGGAGGGCTCAGGAAGGCTCAGGAGGGCTCTGGAGGGCTCAGGGGAGCTCAGGGGGGCTCTGGAGGGCTCAGGGGGCTCTAGAGGGCTCTGGAGGGCTCAGGGAGGTTCTGGAGGGTCAGGAGGGCTCTGGAGGGCTCAGGGAGGCTCAGGAGGGCTCTGGAGGGCTCAGGGGAGCTCAGGGGGGGCTCTGGAGGGCTCAAGGGGCTCTAGAGGGCTCTGGAGGGCTCAGGGAGGTTCTGGAGGGTCAGGAGGGCTCTGGAGGGCTCAGGGGGGCTCTGGAGGGCTCAGGAGGGCTCAGGGAGGTTCTGGAGGGCTCAGGAGGGCTCTGGAGGGCTCAGGGGAGCTCAGGGGGGCTCTGGAGGGCTCAGGAGGGCTCAGGAGGGCTCAGGAGGGCTCAGGGGGGACTCTGGAGGGCTCCATCAGCAGAGGCAGGATAGGCAGAGAGTGTCCATTGTGAGTCACTGTGGCTAGGACACACAGGTAAGGTACCTGATGCAGGGATTTCAGGGGAGGCTCCCTCTGAGGTACCACAATGTCCATCAAACACAGGGAAGGAAGGCTGTGGCCAGCACCAGATAGCTCCCAAGTCTTACCTGGCACCCTCGTTCTTGGCCCCCCAGTACGGGGTCTGGTCTCATGTTGCAGCAAGTTCCCAGGGAAGTTTAGTGCTGCTCATCCAAGTGCCCCCGTGCCCTTGAAACAGAGGAACTTAATGGAACATTGTTCCGTAGCTCATCCTGGAGCGAAACAAGAGTCCGCTGTGATTATTTACCAGCAGAATCCGACCAATGTGATCTCCCAGCAAGGAACCAACAACCACATCTCCATCGCTGAGTCAAAAGCCATCCAGATCGGCCATGGGAATAGCATGCTAAGGCAGCTAGCCTGTGATCAAAGCGGTAAGAGGAGGGCCTGGCGGGGACCCCTGCTGTGTGCATGGGGTGTATATGTGTTTACATGTGTGTGATGTGTGTGTGGTATATGTGATGTGTGTGTGATGTATGAGGTATGTGTGTGGTGTGTGTGATGTATTTGTGTGATAGTGTGTGGTGTATGTGGTGTGTGTGATGTATGTGGTGTGTGTGTGATGTATTTGTGTGGTTGTGTGTGGTACTGTGTGTGTGATGTGTGTATGCATGTATTTGTGTGTATGTGCCCGTGTGTGTTTAGTGAAGTCCATTCAGACCCCGAGGGGGATGTCAGGTGTCCTGTTCTGTCATTCCCACCTTATTGCCCCCAGGTAGGGTGTCACGCTAAACCTGGAGCAAGCCTTGCAGCCAGTAAGCCCCAGCAGTCCCCCTGTCTCAGTGTCACCCAGCACCAGAAGTACGGGCCCATGTGGCCACGCCTGGCTTTTTATGAGGATGCTCAGATCCAAACTCAGGTCTTCATGCTCTCCCAACAGTGCTCTTACCCATTCCCAGCCATCCCTCAGCACCCTGGTTTGGCTGAAGTTGGAGCTTCCCAGCCAGTTTCCTCTGTAACAGGCAATGCGGCTTAGAGGGTGTCGGGCCGCCTCACACCCTAGCCCTTCGCCCACACATAACAGCATCGGCTCCAAGCCCAGATCCCCCTCCCCTGCCCCTGGGAGAAATCTGCTCTACCCCAGGCCTCAGAACCATAACTCTCCTGGTTCTGACAGCCGTCCTGTCTGGATATTTCACTTATGGATGTTAAGTGGCTTACCATTTTTTCAGACTCAAATGTGTTTGAAAGCTTTTGCGTTCCCTTAATTTGAAAATCATAAAAGTGAGGCTAAAAATGAGCTCCAGGGAACTAAAACCAGGGCAAAGACTCGAACTCTCCTAAGTCTAACGCTCTCCCAACTAAGCTGTTTTGGCTGTGCTTAAAGACTCGAACTCTCTTGTCAAGAGGCATGGAGGACTCATTCCCCATGCAGGGAACTGCCTTTGATGGGGGGGGGGTGAAAGGTTGAGGAGATCCAGGAGGCAGGTGGCATGTGGCCCCCTGGATCTGCGGGTACCCCAGCAATACGCTGAGCCCAGCTGGAAATGCCGCAGGCTGCCCAGCTCCAGCTGGAACAATCTAGAATCACCTCTAGCAATTCCTTAACTCTGCTCTTCCCAGGCCCCAGGCCCCGCCATCCTCTCTCGCTACCTGTGCCAGAGGACCCCTCTTCTCAGGACACCCCAGCTGGTGCCTGGGGAGCTCAGCTCATCCATATGGAGAAATCCATGCTCAGGCGTGTGCAGCTGGGCCACGGCAATGAGATGACCCTCCCGGAGGACCCAGTGGAACACACTGCTTATAGCTTTAGTGGCAGCCCCCCAGGTATCACGGCCTCCACCACCCCACACACCCAGAAAGGACCTGAAAGCAGGTGGCTGGGCAAAGGCTGTGCGCCAGACCTGCGTGGTCACTGTGAGAGTCAGCCCTGAGGGTGGACGGCCGGGTGGGGTGTTGGTGCCCGCTTCTCCCGCCTTCTCTTCGGTGTTCCTGCAGTCTCAGCCGCCTCTGCTGACCCAGGGGCTTCATTCAACATGCAGTCGCCTGAGCCAGGCCCTCCTCACCCTGACGCAGACACAGCCCAGAAAGTCCTCATCAAATCCTGCTTGCTGGTGGACGCCACCATCGGCAACAGCAACAAGATGACCGTCCACGCTACTTCAGAGGGTGGGGTCGTGGAGCCTGGAGGCAGCGAAGAGCCGAAGGGAGGCACAGGTGAGCCCCGAGCACAGACGGTTGTCTGTGTGAGTGCCCACCTCACACAGCCGTCAGGCAAGGGCCCGGAGCAGGGACATTCGGGTCTGGGGCTCAGCGGGCAAACCAAACGGCAGCATGCAGCGCCAGGTGTTCACCAAGGTGACGAGGAGACGGAGAAAGGCATTGGGCAGGACGGGAGCAGAGACTTCTGGGATTTGGAGTAAGAGAATCACACGTAAACAGTCCCTCGAGTGGATAGTTAGAGTCAGCATGAAGGGACCAGGATGTGTGGATGTCGAGTGGACCCCTCCCCACCCTGCCATTCCCGGTGGTGGAGTTGCTGCATGGCTCACACTGTGAAAACAGGCCATTGCTGTGGGTCACAGTCACCCGGCCCAGGCGAGGAGCCCTTTAGGAGGGATGAGGCCTGGCTGTCCCCTACGAGGAGAGGCGCAGGAGCCCTGCATTCAGGGAGGCTTTGGGAGTTCTGTGTGGGGATTTGCAAGTGCAGACATAGCAGGTGCCAATGCCACCCCATCCCCTCAGGTGGCAAGTGGGAGCAGCATAAGGGTCAGTAGTCTGGGAATCAGGAGGGGTGGACACCCAGGAGCCTGGTGGGTGCCCTCCCCGTCTTTCAGAGGCTGAAGGCGTGTGTGAGATGTCTCCACCTCATTTGAAATGAACTGGGGAGGCCTGGAGAGTGTGGACAGAGGCACGTGATGTGGCATCCATGTTTCCCACAGTGGGCAAGGGCATTTGGTGCAAAGTCTGAAGACCCGAGTTCGATACCCAGGGCCCACGTGGTTGAAGGAGAGAAACAATTCCCACCCATTACCATCTGAGCCCACCCACACACACAAGTATGCACAAAACAAACAGATAGATACATAGATAGATAGATGGATGGATGGATAAATACATACATAGATAGATACATACATACATACATAGATACATAGATAGATAGATACATAGATAGATACATAGATACATAGATACATAGATAGATACATAGATACATAGATAGATACATAGATACATAGATAGACACATAGATACATACATAGATACATAGATAGATACATAGATAGATAGATACATAGATAGATACATAGATAGATAGATACATAGATAGATACATAGATACATAGATAGACACATAGATACATACATAGATACATAGATAGATACATAGATAGATAGATACATAGATACATAGATAGATAGATACATAGATAGATACATAGATACATAGATAGATACATAGATGTATGTGGTGGGGGGAGGCTTAAGTCTCCGCAAGGACAGTTTGGGAACAAAGCCATGAGGCAGAAACCCACCACAGTGACTGCGGGCGCCCCCCCCAGGAGCCTGCAGGATGTCTGCCACTCCTGGTGAGCTAAATGACATGGTGACCCGAGACCTCACCTGCCCCTTCACTGCCCTCTCTCTCCTCCCTCCAGACACAAGCTCTAACGCCATGCCCGGCGGAAGCTGCTTCATCAACCCCAGCAGCTCAAGACTCCTCACTTCTGAGCTGGGAACTATGACTCTGGGAGACAGCGGCCCCCAGACCACAGAACCTGTGCTGAGGGAGGATGGAGCCCCCGGTACGGGGAGTGGTCAGACGCAGGAGTGAGGGGAGAGGGGAGAGGTGGGGAGGGCACAGGCAAGCAGCCTTTGTGTGGGACTTCATGTGGCTGCGCACGGGGCTCGGACTAGGTTTTCTTTTTTTTTTTTCTTGTTTTTTGTTGTTGTTGTTGTGATTTGGATTTGATACCCTTCCTGAAGAGGCCCAGGTATTTACTGACAGCTTGACCCCAGGCCAGGACTGATCACTATGAAGTGACAGGATTCTGAGGGCCCTGAGATCACCCACACTCCGGTCTCTAGAAGGGTTTGCTGTCTGACATTGTTGGGAGTAGAGACTTTAAGAGGAGGAAGGAAAGGTGTCCATGAAGACATCAGGGTCTCTTGTAGTCCAGATTGGCTTTGAGTCACTATGTGGCCAAGGATGACCTTGAACTTCTCATCTGCTGACCTCTATTTCCTGAGTGCTGGGATAACTGGTGGGTACCACATCCAGTTTATGAGATGCTCTGAGATAATGGGTGGGTACCACCGCATCTAGTTTATGAGGAGCTCTGGGATAAAGGGTGGGTACCACCGCATCCAGTTCATGAGATGCTAAGGATGAAATTTCACACATGGAACACAAGTATTCTGCCAGCACAGCCACAGCCCCAGCTTGGGCCATGCCCCTTGCAGTATGCCTGCCCATCTTTTCTCCCTGCCTGTCCTGAGGTGAGCACCCTCCTCTGCCTTGCCACAGGCCAGAAAGCGATGCAGCCATGAGACCGTGGGCTGACACCTCTGCCACCATGAGCCAAAACAACCTTTCCTGCCTCAAGATCAACCAATCAATCAATCGTATGAGCCAGCTCTACCACTCCTGGGTATTCACCAGAAGGGACAAGTCAACACAGCGTACAGATATCAGCCCATCCGTGTTGACTGTGTCCTGTTCACGGCAGCTGAGAAACGGAGCCAGCCTTGCTGTCTGCCAACAGAGGCTGGGTAGAGGAAATTCGGAGTATGCATACAGCCACACAAAATCATGATGTTGTGTCATATGCTGGAAAGTGAATGCGACCAGAGACCGCCATGCTAAGTGAATAAAATCACCTCAGGAAAAAAATAAGTTTTCTCTCATTTGTGGCTCCTAGATTTTTTTTTGTTTTCATTTTTGGTTTTGTTTTGTTTTGTTTTGTGTTTTTTTGTTGCTTGGTTTTTCTTTGTTTGTTATTTTTTTTTAATTTTTCGAGACAGGGTTTCTCTGTAACTTTGGAGCCTGTCCTGGAGCTCTGTAGACAAGGCTGGCCTCGAACTCACAGGGATCCGCCTGCCTCTGCCTCCCAAGTGCTGGGATTAAAGGCATGCGCCACCACTTCATGGCCGTGGCTCCTAGATTTTGCATAGATATGTAGAATTATACTTGTGGATGTGACACCAAAGCAGAGGTAAAGCTAGCCAGGGGGTGAAAGGGACCAACAGGAAGACAGAGGAAACAAGGGGTGGGGGAAGAGCATTGGTTGAGAGCGATGTATGTCTGCAAAAAAGTGTGCCTCTGAAACCCACATACAGTGCCTAAACGCCCCCGCTATAAAGAAAACATAAAATCAGCTCCCCCCCCCCACAGCTAGTGTTTCATCTGACTAGAGAGCATCTAAATCACTCAGAAAACTGAGTTAAAGAATTAAACAAGGGGCAGTGAGACAGCTCAGCACAAGAGAGGCCTGCAGCCAAGCCTCTCGACCCAGGTTGGAATTCCAAGAACCACATGGTGAAAGGAGAAACCAGGCTTGTGCAAACCATCCTCTGACCTACAGAGGTGTGCCTGGGGCACAGTGCCCACAACACCCCCAATAAAAAAATGGAAATTTTAAAACATTTTTTAGATTAGAAGAGATGGTTACGTGGTTAAGAGCACTTGCTGGTCTTGCAGAGGGCCCGAGTTTGGTTCCTAGCACACACAACAGATGACTCACAATGGCTTATACCTCCAGTTCCAGGGGATCCATTGCCCTCTTCTGCCTGGCCCCAGGAGCCACTTGAGTGGGGATTTGATGGGGATGCCCTTCTGTATGTGTTTCTCTTATTGGTTGATAAATAAAATACTGTTTGGCCAATGAGGCAAGAAGATAGGTGGGACTAGGAGAAGAGGAGAACTCTGGGGAAGGTAGGCAGAGGGAGCCTGGCTGGCTCAGTCAGTAAAACACAAGACTCTTAGTCTCAGGGTCATGGTTCATGCTTCACGTTCGGCGCCATTTTGCTGTGGCGTTTTCTTTGTTCCTCCAGGTTCTGCCGCCCTTCTCAGCCTCAAATAAGCACACAAAGATGTATTAATTATTAAACTGTTGGCCGATGACTAGGGCTTCTTATTGGTTAGCTCAGTCCTAATTATTAATCCATAACTACTAATCTATATATTTCCACATGGTCTCAGACTGCCCCGGAGAATGCCTGGACTTTGTTACTCCTTTGATGGCTATACGGAGTCTGTCCTGGTGGGCTCCCTCTGCCTACCTTCCAAACAGTGTTTTATTCATCAATCAATAAGAGAAACATATATCCAGAAGGACATCCCCCATCAGGGACTTCTGATGGGGGAAGTCCTGTACATTTGTTAATAAAGCACTGTTGGCCAATAGGAATCTAGATGGGTGGGACTAGGAGTCCAGGAGGATTCTGGGAAGGAGAAACACAAGAGAGTTCAACATGTAACGCCATGGGGTAGGAGCCCGGAACTATTCTCCGGTAAGAGACATACTTAGATTAACAATTATGGGGTAATTACTTAAGTCAGAGCTAGCCAGTAAGAAACAAGCAAGGCCAACAGCTTCATAATTAATACAGCGTCCTGTGTGTTTATTTGGGGACTACAATGCAGCAGAGCCCAGGCGGCTGGCGGGAGATAAACCAAAGCGGCTAGCAAAGAAAAAGCTTCTCGTAACAGACTTCCATGGCTCATGGCCTGGATTCCTCACTTTCAATCTTCTGGGGCCTTTGCATGCCGTTCTAAAGCCTGCGCTGGGCCCTGGGACTGCAGAAAGAAGTATGACAACAGGGAGTCGGACGGCAATGGCTCCTGTCGGCAGGGACGGCTGCAACAGACAACAGGAGTGTGGAACACAGGCTGGCAGGACCTGAGCCCCGGAGCCAGGCTGGGCAGCTGAGGACTCTAGATTCTGGTCTACATTCGGTTGAGTACGTCTGGGATGTGAACCGTACTTTGTGGGGACACAGCGTGACCAGAGCATGAAGCTCACTGTAAGGCAACAGAGATGAGGTGGGCCCTTTGGGACGAAACTGGTGAAAGGAGGAGTCAGGGCCAGGTTTTCACAAATCTTAGCTGGCCCGCAAATGTGTTCCCTGGCAGGTGGGCAGCGGGGCTCGATGTCAGTTAGGATCCTGCGCCGTGCGCAGTCTTCTTGGTCACGGTGGTATGCCGCAGTCTCCAGAGCTTGTTGCCCTGGGACGTCCCACTGTCAATGCGAGCTTAGAGCACCACGGGTGGCTGGCTCTCCCAGGCGGCTTCCTTCCTTCTGCACCAAACTAAAAGCCAGGGGTGGATCTCAGAGCCGGCCTGAGGTCCACAGCTGAGCGGGGCCAGTTGTCAGTTGGGAACAAGCTGGAGCTCCTGAGCCTGCCCAAGCAGAGTCCTTGCCGCCCGGCACGGTTTCATAAATGCGCTGACAAAGCACTGTGCGGCTAATGGGGGCTGGAGGTGAAGGCCGAAGCCATCTCTCAGAGGAGGGAATTAACGAGGCTCCATTAAAAGCAAGAAGCGGTTGAGTCAGCCTGTCCTCGGCCCTGTCCTCGGCCCTGTCCTCGGCCCTGTCCTCGGCCCTCAGCTCTCCGGCCCACCTGCCCACCCCCACCTCGGGGTAAGGAGTAAACCTGGCCTTCGGATGGGAGATGGGGGCTTGTGTGATCCGCTCATGCTGAAACGGCTTTGCATTGCTCACGGGGCCCTTCACCCATGTTTTCAGAAGACCAGCAGCTAACACTGGAAGCCGAGACTAGGAAAGGGGGCCAGAGTCCCGTTGGCTTTGTGCGACAGAAGCTTCATTTACTCAGGTGTCGTTGAATGGATGTAGTCGAGTACCCCAGAAACCATAGGACAGCGGGCTTTAGGAATTGCTGTACCCAGGCACTCAACCCACCTACAGCACACCCTCGCCAGTTATCAGAGATTTCAAGTAGAAAAATACCAGGTAATGTCCCGCAGAGGATTCCGCTTGGTTGGGAACAGGTCACATGGTTATCCTTGAACCAGCCATTGTCCAGAACGATGAAAGGTGACAGTCTAGCCAAATTTCACTCCCTGCTGGTGTACGAGCGCAAGTTCCTTTGCGAAGCGTGTCCCAGGAAAGAGGGAAGCAATTTCAGCCCGGCAGAAACCAGAGCCCATTCCAGCCACAGCTGTTGATGTTTCTAGAAACCCTCAGAATGCAGCAAGACTCTTAAAGGGAAGGGAAAGTGCCTTCACTAGAAAGCAGTGGGGATGTGGAGGCCGGCTAAGGGATGGCAAAGACTCAGGCTCAGCTGAGGCCTCCCCGTGGGCTCCCGGGCTGCGGGCTGGCTGTGCTTGGAGGGGCGGGGTCTTACACAGAGACACCAGCTACAGGACACAGAGTAGCTCACAGAACAGCTTCCTGTGACGGTGGCCTCTGACCCTTCTTGTCCCACACCAGAACTTCCTCCTCTGCAGCCTCTGCAGAACTGTGGGTCTGTGATAGCCCAGCTGGCACTGGGTTTACGTTCCTGCACTTGCGCATGCCAGGCATGCACTCTGGAGCTCAGCTGCAGTTTTACCCTGGGCCATGTGCACAGCGGAGCTCGGGGCAAGTGCCCCGAAGATTGCAGAAAACCCTCTTCTACTTGGAGTATTTCTTTTAAAGGAAACTCGGAAACATGACAGTCAGAAGCAAAGTCAAGGTCTTAGACGAATTGTTGGGGCCTAGCTCCCACAGGGTCTCTGAGTTGTTTGTCAGCTGATAGCCACAGGTGCATCCTGTTTTCTAGTCCTGGGGGTTTTTCTACTGTGTTGTAAGACTATATATATGACTGCTCCCTCCTATAAGAGAGAGACCTCTTAGCACTTGCAAAAATAAAGACACTTCTTCGTACAAACAGCTGGACATCTGGTCTTTCTTTTCCTGATACCTCGGACTTGCTTGTGGTGTGGGCACTGCAAGGGATGGGGGGGAGCAGTGAGCAGAGGGGCTTCTGACCTGTTGTGTCAACACTCTTTGGGGGAGGGGGCCGCCTTGCAGCAGGCTGGTCAGCCTGGCATGGGATGCCTAGGGGACAAGGACGGGAGTCTGCGTGTCGCTGTGCCGAAGAGGAAACATTTTTCAGTGTGGCATAAGGACTGGAAGAGATTGTTTATAAAAGGCTTGCCCCAATGAGAGATCGTCTAGATATGTTGGCTTGGGAGCATGTCTGTAGGGGATTGTCTGATTAAGGCAGCCGACGAGAGGAAAATCCCAGCCCTCTGTGGGCAGCAACGCTCCCTAAGCACGGCATGTTGGACTGCGTCAGAGCGGAGAGATCTGACACTGCACGCCAGCAGCCAGGCAAACAGGAAACGCATTCATTTCTCTCTGTTCTTGACTGCGGATGTGGTGTCGCTAACCGCTAACTGGTCCCTGCCTTGACTTCCCCACAATGCTGGGCTGTATAGTCTGGAATTGTGAACTGAGCGAATCCCCTTTGCTCCTAAATTGCTCTCAGGGTATTTTGCCACGGGAATAGAGGTGAAACTGGAACAGCCGTTGAAGCCTTACTTATAGGGAGGACAACAATGTGGAGGGGGAGCCAGTGTGTGTGAAAAGTTTCTAGGGGCTTGGATTTCTAGCGGCTCAAGCACAAAAGTGTGGAAAGGTGGGAACTATGAATTGTAGTTTAAAAGTTGTTTTATTTCCCCCAATGGGAAACTATGAATTTCTAGAGGGGGGAGTGATGCTCCAAATGACGCTGTAACAATAAACGACACACTTACTGAGAGTAAAACTCAGTATTTATTGTAGAAATTACTCACAAGATACCAAACAAGTAACCCAGATGAGCCGAGTAGTTTTCCGCTACAGAACTGGAAGCTGAAATCCGGAAAAGAGACCAAGACTTCCGTTGTTC